CTCATTACCTTCAGGGAGCTCAACCTCCATCCGTCCCCAGAACACATGGCCACCCGCTTACAATTTAATCTGAAGCCAAAAAGACATCTCAGAAGCGTTTTGAAGATAAAATTCAGTGCTGGAGGAAAGATGATTTATAAACATCCACTCTAAAACTCTGGGCGCTTTTGTATCCTCCCTCTCTCACACGTGATTTGTACTGCAGGTTTCTTGAATGAAGAGGTGCAATGGGCTGCACACCCAGGGAGATAAGATATCTGAGCTGTCAGGGTTTGCCAAGTTCCTATGCTCTGACTTTGACAAAAAGCACAAGCTTTGAAGCCAGGACAATACACATACACTAGAGCATCTGATTTCAGAAGTGCTGCTGGATGCTCCCACCACCAAGACAAGTCTGGAGTCTAAGGCGAGGGTTTCAGAGCCCTGCCCAGCACCTCCTCACAGACCCATCCTGCTCTGAGATGCTGCAGCAGCCACTGCACACAGCGTGCCACACACGAGCCACCCACAACAGGAATAATCTGCTTTTTTGATAACAAAGGAAGGTTTACTCAGAGGATAAAGCAAAGGAACTGCACGTTAGCTGTTCACAGCTGCAGCTCTTCCCAGCCTTTCAGATCTGATCAATCACAGCACAATCAATCTTTTTTTGACTTCTGGCTATCTTACTGAAAACCATAAACTTCAGTTTTGCCCATGGGAGAGTCCATTCCAGAAACGGTACATTCTGGCACTGCCAATGTTCTTGGCAGACATAATGTACACTTTAAGGGCTTTCCTAACTTCAGTGAATTTCACAGTAGCAATTATCTTCAATTACTCCAGATGAAAGACCACACAAAATGTTAATTCAAGCCCCCCTTCTCCCAGAAGCCCCCTGCTATCCCCAGTCACCACTGCCCTACTTTTTGCCTCACCAACGCCCAGAAGGTTGGACCTGCTCTTTTCCCTGATGCTCACGTTTCCTGATGTGATCGCTGCCTCTGTCATTGCCTTCTTTTCCATGTGTATTATAAAAAATCCTGTCTCATTTCAGGTATTTAAGAGTATTTCTGCCACCTCCACAGACACACATTTGGCTGCTTTTTACCTGATTTCTCCCCCAGCCTGAATCAGAACAGAAAGAAAAACAGAGAAAACATCTGGGCATTTGCACCAGCAATCAGAGGTAGAATAAGCCACTTTGTGATATCCAGCTGTTTCTGCTGCACTGTAGGACACAAAGAAGCATCACCTACAAGCAGTGTGTGTCAGAAGGGTGAAGAAATTAATGGGATATATCAGCACTACCTTGATTTCTAGCAGCTACAAGGAGCTGGTATTAAAGTTGTGAAGATATTTAACATAAACTAGAACAACATTCAGCAGCAGCTACGAAACAAGACTGAAACAAAACCAAGCTACACAGCGATGGCTTCGTAATTCAGGTGCACTTAGAGGAAACAGCAGACTCAAAATAAAAACTGAGATCAGCAACATGTTGGGATGGTTTAAACCACAAATGAGAGAGCTTGTCTGCAAAACTGAAACTTGTTCTCGGGCTGAACTGCCAAGACCACACATGGCACCACATGGCAGTGCAGGAGAAAACAAAACTTCCATGTCCCTGTGATCCATGCAAGATGAACTGGAAGAACTACTGATGAAAGTCAAGAAGAGAAGGAAGGAGACTTAAGTATGTACATTTTTTCTGAGAAAAACACGCAGCAAGTGTGCCAGAGGTCCAAAGTACCAACATGCACTAGAAATGCAGAATCATTTCACTTTCAGAGCTAGCCTTTGGTCCTCTTCAGGAGGAATGACTACCCTCTGCATTGCTTCACAGACCCTCGAGCTCCCTTCTGTAAACTTCTGAGACTTCCTAGCTCCATTCTTTTCATGACTTTTTTTCTTCTAGTTTGCTGCGTGAAACCTCCAGCCCTGGCCGCTCCACCCCACGGAGCACTGCGTTTTACAGCTATTTGTCAAACAGCAGCGCCAGTCTCAGCTTTGCTTTTTACAGTGATGATAATCCTTGCCCTAAAGAACTCACATTTAACAGGCATGTCTCATCTGTGACTCACTTGACCTGTGTCAAATATAGCAAACGCTACGAGCCTGGTCACGGAAGCTCAAAACCCATCATGGGCTGCAAACTGCTCCTGGAGCAGCAGCCTGGGTGGGTCAGAGGAAGCCCCCCAGAGCCCAGGGAGCTTCAGCTCTCAAGCCTGCACAGGCTGTTGCTGCCTCTTTTCTGGGGTGGGATGACACAGGAAGTCCAAAGAATCGCGGTGTCAATTCCTCTACTGTGTTTGCTGAAAAGCTCCTGACGGCAGGAAGAGGGTGAACAAATCTTTACAAGTCTCGAAACGGGCAATAACCGGTGCCGCTAATGAAGTGGTCTGAGAGGCACCGCGGAGAGCAGAGCAGTGACAGAAACACAGGAAGGGGGGGAAAAAAAAGGGGTTTTGAGACAGACTGCTGCGAGCAGAAAAAACACACAGAGCTCGGCCTGGTGATGCATTTGGGCACAACACCAGGGCCAGGGCCAAGGAAGATGAGCAGCACAGTAAAGACATTGTGGGATCCTGAAAATCGGAGAAAGGGGGCAGTGACAGTCGTGGAGATGAGTAAAACGGTTCTGGGCAGGGAGCCCACCATGAGAATAGTGCAGGGGAAAAGCCACCCGCGGAGAGGTTCGGCAGGGCGCTCCACGTCCCAGATGCTACGGACTAAAACCAGCGAGCTGGGCGGGTGACTGCAAAGCCCTGAGCTCCTCGTTTATGCTGCCACTTGAGCCTCTGCAGAATAGGAAGTGCGGGCTGCAAAGGAGTAGTTTGAGGTCTGGGTTTTCTGAGGCCAACGCCGCTTTGTTTGCTGGGCCTCGTGCCGTCGCGGCATCCCTTTCCATGGGAATTGTGAGGAATCTGGTGGCTGTGCCCCAGCAGAGCAGGCACAGATAAACCTTTTTTTCCTCCATCAGGAGCTCACTGAAGTACAACGCTTTGCAATTCACTTCCAGTGGCCTGTTACTTGATGTTCACGAATGCACAAGACACGGAAAATGTCGCTTTTGCACCAGGCTTTCCCAACACAGCTGTTACGACAGCTGTGTTATTTCACACAGCTATTGCTTTATCTGAAATAAAATACCAGGCACATTTCATCTAGTTGTCTGGGCAATGAGAGGACCACATCAAAAAAAAAAAAAAAGGAAAAGATGACAGGTTTTTAAATTGAAAAGCCACAACTAAATGAGAGTGGACCTACTCCTTGCAGAAGCAGAGTGCTTTCATCACTGGAACTCTTCCCTCCTCCCCAAACAGCTGAGCCTTAACATCTCACACACTTGGGTTACTTCTGAACATCCTACAGTTTATACACTTCACACAAACCAATTTTAAGTAATTCATGGCACTTGGGAGAATCCAGCACTAGGGACAATTTAACAGAAGCTGATCAAACAAAACTGATTTTGAGAAAAGCCCCATCTATTTCTGTCAGACAGCATTCCTAGTGCAGTTGTGTGCTGTCATTAGCTATTTCAATCCAACATTTGATCATATTGAACTTAGGAGAGCTCTGCCAGTTTAAGTAGAATAAAAATGTTAACCTTCAGTAACTTAATCAAATGCCACATGGTACAGGCACTCACAGCAGAAGTTATTTCAACTCTGAATGTCTAGAGTAAAAATTTTACACGGCCAAAAAGTTACTGTGGAAAAAGTTACTGATTCCTTACAAACGTCTAACCACAATGCTGGCAATTCAGAAACTAGTTCCAGTTCTGAAAGCAAGGAACATGGAGTGAGACACTGTTAGTCCAGAAAATCTCTAGGCACAAAAGATATGAATGAATTACTGCAGCTGGAAACCTCCTTCCTCCTCCTCAGAGGCTTTCCCGTCACTGAACTGTGAACTGAAACGAAGCAACAGCTTCTCGGGCAGAAACTCAGCGTCAGAAGTTGAACACAAGCCTTTGCCAGTGAGAGAGCGGCTCAGGAGCAATATCTGTCATCATCTGTGACCACAGCTCCTGTCACACGGGCAGAAGAATCCCCCCCCTTCACCACATCTCATAAAAGGACAAAGCGGTAGTTGCGTCAAGTCATAAATGTTTGTGCACAAAAACTGTTCACCCTCTCTTCTGCTTTCAGCTTCTCCCTTATTTCCATGACAGACCCACTGGCATTTGCTCTGGTGAAACTGCAGCTCAAGCCCAGCAGGTGTTTTCAACCAGACAGCCTGCAAACACCCAAGACTCGATTTAAAAAGCCCAGCACACCCAGGCAGGAGAAGCCCCCTCGCCCCTGAGAGGAGCTGCCAGTCCCCAGCAAAAAGCAGCAGGAAACTCTGCCATCAGCAGGCTGGGACTCTCTGGTTTATTTTCCCCCAAATGCCAAAGTTGCAGCTACATCAGTGTGGGCAGACCATGAGTTTTGGTGTAAGAGTGCTGGTTTGTCTCTGCTGACACCAAGGACCTGCCGAGCAGGATGGGGCTGCCAGCGAGTCCCCAGGGCAGCAGCAGATATGGGCTGTGCAGGGTGACAGTGCCAGCCACCAGGAGACATCTCTGGTTTGGGGAAAAACTGTCACTGTCAGGACAAACATCTGTCAGCCTCACACATTTCAACTGCGGTAAGAAACACGGTAATTGTATCATCCATTTTCCACACTCGCACCGTGACGAGCTAAAGAAGATAAAAGGAGGCTTGGACAGCCAGGACTGCAGGGAATTGTGGCCATTTTGATTTAAGCTTATTCCCTTTCTGTCTAAATAAACATATCTGTTATGAATGATGAATGTTCCTCCCCTCATGTGCCTCACGTCCAACTCTGTTTCCCTTAGCGCTGCACTTCCACATTTCCTTAGGTCTTTCCTGACACTTGCAGGAAACAAAAAAGCGTAGAAACTCTACAGCTGGGAGGTCAAGCTGCAAAGGGAGGCGAGGGCCGTGTACAACAGCACTCCCCTGCTGCAGCCTCTCCCACCCCCAAAGCACGCTCCTCATCCTTCTTACCTCGTAGGACCACACGCACTGCACTCCCGCAAACCTCCGCACGCATCTCCCCACTTCCACGTCCTCGTGGGTCGTGTACATCTCCCGCAGGCACTCGCCGATGTGGGGCACCATCCTCCGCAGCACCTCCCTGCTCATGATCACTCCTGGCCCCCCCATGCAGAAGTTCTCGCCCGGCTCCAGCGCCAGCTTCCCCATCTCCTCCGTGGTGCCGAGCCCGGTCTGCCCCAGGAAGAGCGGCTCGCTGCTGTTCAGGCTCCGCAGGAAGTTCTCCAGCTTGTCCCCTTTGATGTAAACGTCGTCGTCAGCCCTCATAAACCATTCGTATTTGTCCAAGTAGTGGTCATGCATGTATTTGAGCATCATGAAAGATTTCTTCTGGGGTGGGTAAGAGTCATCTACACCTGGGAGCGGCACGATGGGGATGGGAATAGAGGTGTCCGAACCCTCGCTGGAGAAGAACTCGACCTTGCCAGGAATGGTTTTGGACCACGTTCTAGATCGAAAAAGACAAGAAGGACTAATTAAGTACACACACCAGGACAGGCAGAGAGTGCTCCCAGAGGCTGCACCTCATCTGCTTTACAAATTGTCTTTATAAACGCCCTGAAAGGTTATTTTTCACCACACAAATGGCACACAGAGCAACTGGTACAACACACAAAAAGGTCTGCTACGACATGCATTTGAATATCATTTTTGCACCTTCATGTGTTAGAAAAGTAATTTGATAGTAGCAGTTCACTAGTGGAAGGCAGGATTTCTTAAGCACCCTCAGTTTTGGACTAACTAGTACTGGCCACAAAATACAGAGGGGAGCCAGTATGGACAAACAATCCACATACAACTGGATTTAACACTTCCAAAGCTTCCCTGCAAGTTATTCAGCATCATCTCCACCTTCCATTCCTTCTAAGCCTCCCCAAAAGCTCAAATGTGCACTCAGAAATACAGACTTCCAGAGAGTAAATTCACATGAACTTGTAAGGAATCGGTATCCCGTGGGAAAAGCGACCAAACAGCAACTTCTCCAGATGCTGCCTGGAGAAGCAAAGCACAGAGCATGGAGCAAGAGTAACCTCAGGCAGGTTTGTCCATACCACTGAAGTCCTAAAAGACGCCTGTAAAACATGTAACTCCCACAATAACGTGGTGCTACCAACACTCACACCTCCAGCAGCTTTCCAGGTGCTTCATTCCAGATTTTAGTGGAGAGGAAAATCACAGAAGAGGAGCTTTTCCTGCGCAAAGCAGCACAGAGACAACATCTGCTCCACACCTTTCGTGCTCCTCTGACAAATCCAACCCCTCTGCGTGGGCAAACTGGGTCACTTATATGGCAGGAAGAGCTGCAGGATGATTCCTCCAGGCAGACTGCAGAACACTGTCTCCTCCAGGGAGGATTTCCAGTCATGTAACTGTTACAGCCTTGCCCTAAAAATTATTCATTTTAAGCTTTCAGGACCATTTTCTGAGATTCTGTCTGGGGAAAAAAGCAGAGATCACATATCCCTCACAATGAAAACTATCTTCATTGGTAAACCAACAAATTTTGACCCTTTTTTCATGGGGGGAGAGTATTTTATAATTGTATTTGGTGACTGTGCTCAGAATATAACCTAAAGGTGAATGTGAAAATGCTCTCAAGGTAAAGGACACAGTATTCCCTCAATGCATCACTGTCACTCTGACCAGATGTCTCTCAGTACAGGTTTCTTGCCAAAACCTGAGCAGATTTTGGGCAGCACAGACCATCCCAAATTTGAAATCTCCAGAATTAGCTGTTGTGCAAAGTCTGAAATGCAAAAATATTTCGGAAGAACTATTCCTAAAGCTCCACCAGAAAACACAAAGGTATTTAATTAGACTTCCGTAAACATCAACTTTGACACCTTAACAGTTTCACACTAATTGAGTTGCGTGTAATTAATACCACCCAATTACTTTAAAAGCTTTGTCTTCTGGATTTCTTACTGCCCTGGGTAGCGTTTCATAGGAAAAGTTTAGATCCCAGCTTCCCAAAGAGCATAGAGTAAAGCAAACAGAAACATTCCCACTGACTTCACAACAGAGGTGATGAGGCTTTTAATCATCAGTCATGCAATTAATGCACAGTACCACTGGTTATAAGTCATATCCTGTTAAAGCACTGAAAGCTGCCCCTTGTAAACGTGACATGATCATATCTCGACCTTTCACTATTAAGGAAGTTCTGCTGTTTACTTTCTGACACCCACACTCACCATACAAATCATCTACAGCTCTTCCCACACCAACTCCCAATCTAAGTTTAAAAGGCTTCTTTTCATTAAAGGTACTCGATGTATTTCAATTTTAATCTCACAGAAAGAAAAGGCAGGAGCAGCTACTGAGAAATTTCATCCACTGCAAGCAGTTCCCAAGGCAGCTTTCGATGGACCCAGGACAAGTTATTACCTAAAGTCTTATGGAAATTTCTGTTTATTGACTTTTTTATTCAAAAGCAAACAAAGACTTTTCAGACTTGTTCTCCATATCCTGAAAGATCTGCCTTTCTAATGACTACAATCTATGGACAACACAGGATGTTTTCTATCACTCCAAGCTTTAGCTCCTTGCTGGACTCATGAGGATTTGTCGTCAGCTAGTTTGTTGGGTTTTTTTTTAAACCACCACCCAACTCTGTTGGTTCCCAGCTTAAATTTACTCCCTGCTCTCCAACCTGGTACCCTCGCCTCTGGACCCAGAAAGTACTGTCAAGAGAAGAATTCCCACTCAATGAAGATGGAACAAAATGCATCTACATCCATAAACCCTGGCATGTTTGATTCCCAGCCTTCTCACTGCACTAAAACCCTCAAATCAAAGCCAGTTTGAGCCCATTTCTCCACGTGTCTGAGTCATATTTAAGTTTCCCATTAAAGCAGGAGCACACCAGAGACATATTCCTGCATATGTGAGGAGCACAACACAGACAGAAAGACCAGGTCCTAACAACAACCACACCCCAAGGACCAGTGTGTGACCTGGGTCGGCACCAAAACGTTACTTCAGCCTCGGGATCTCACGTCAACCACATCAACCGCATCGACCAAGCCCCAGCACAGCTTGACTGAGCCTTTGTTCACTTCCTGCAACAACACAATTTCTGGGATGAGACAACTCGACGTGTTGTGACTGTGGCTTTGAGCGTTTGTTCGAACCCAGGCAGGCAAAACACATTCCCACATGGAAAAATGGCCCGAGTGTCTGTGTCAACGGGCAGAGGCTGAAACAATGGAGTCACCACGGGCTGCTCCTCACGTCGGAGCCACAGCTCGCTGCGGCCCTTTTTTGGGGGGAGAACACACAGGGAACAGTTTGCTCAGGAAACATGTTGTTGCTCTCAGCCAAAGAAGCCAAACCACAGACAGCAAGATGAACTGTGAGCACGTCTTTCTGACCCCAGTTATCAGCAGAACCGAGGGCTGGTAAATGCAGGGGCAAGTTCTGGTCAAAGCTGCTTTTAACTTTTTTCTCCGACGTTGCAAAGAATCAGACCTGGCTCAATCACCAGCAACTCCGCAGACTAGCGTGGTAACACCTACGTTTCTTGCCTGTCCTCCCACCTCCAGTCTAGTTTACCATGTCAGCTCTCAGGTTATGGGCAGCAACCTGACCCCTTCAGCTCCTTAGCACAGAGCTCTTGTCTCAACACCTCCCCACCTCTGTGGCCCCCCACCAGCACCCACTGGCATCACTTTCCTGGTCAAGGGTTCTCCAATATAAGAATTGCAGGTTGTATCTGAAAAAGAACTGTATGTTTGATAGTTAAACAAACAAACAAACAAACAAGGGAAAATGTTTTAATTGACACTTGATGCCCTCCTTCCCCTGCGCTGCCCTGTCACCCTCAGCTGTTTAAAGGACATGTGGACACAGCATTTCTGCCACCAGACTCCTGCATCTACACCTGCAGAGAACACCTTGGCTGCAGTGACCGATTGCTGGTGGCCTCAGTCAGCTCAAAGCCATTTTGACTCTGTCCAAGGAGAAATATCAGGTTCTGGATACAACTGATACATGTCCTGCACCGGTCATTAAAAAACTCAGCAACTGAACTGCTCTGACAGATCCCAACCTTATCTCCTCCGTGTAATCTGAATCTGCTGCCTAAACAAGAGGATGTGCATGAATCAGGACAGCAAGGCTCTCCATTACCTTCCCCAGGAGGTAAAACACCTGCACAACAGTGTGTGACCTGGTTTCTCTCAGTGCAAGAGGTACAGAACTCCAACAAAGCAGAAGCTTGTCTTGGCAAAGAAGTCAAAGTGAAAATTAAACAAACACAAACAAAATCAGTAACGCTTCCTGAGGAGAAAGCTCTTAGCAGAGGACACTGATCTCCAGTATTGGTGGCTACCAAATCAATTTTATCACCCCTCAAGTGGTTTTGCACACTGGATACCCTACATCTGAGAAAGTCACAAGCAAACTGAGTGAAAAGATTTTACCCCAGCTCGTACAGGTATTCACAAAATACAGAAAACTTTGTGCCCCCTAAGAGTGCTAAAAACCCCAATATTGTCTAAAACAGTGACCACAACTATAGTCATTGAACCTTGTCGTACGTTTGTTTCTTCGTTCAAAAAGAAGCTCAAAAAGCATAGCTTGAAGCAGGAGGAGCACAGATCTTGAATGTTTTATCTTGAGTTTCCAGTATTTATTATTTATTTGTATTACCTAGCTTTGTTATCAGCTCTGCAGACTCGGCAGAAGCACAGTCAGGGGTATTATGCAGACAGTGCTCCCTTTGTAGAGACCCAAGCTGAACACTATGACAAAAAATGCTTTTTGTCTGCAGCTCAGGAACATCCCTTAGAGGAGATCAGAGAAATCATTTAAAGTTTTGAGAAACAGTCACCTGGTATAATTACGCTGAAGAAAACCGTAATTTGTGAAGAACTCGGAAAGATAACAGACACAAAAGACCGATGTGTTGAATGCAGCTAAATCTCATGTTGTATTAGGGTTAATTTTGCATCACTTCAAGGTCCCATCTTTCCAGCAACACTTGCTGCAGGGGAAGCAATGAACCACAGCTTAGCCAGGACAACTGAGCATGGAAACCAGCACACTGCTCCTGCACGTGGTACTGCACATGACCATCATGAGAGGTCACCAAAAAAAAGATGTTTAATAAAATCTCCAGATAAGTTTAAAAGATCTTGTCGTTAAGATCTGCATCACAGAATTTAGATTTTTGAGGAAACATTCCTGTCAAGTTTTTGCAGGGCAGCTTTACCAGAGAACCCAAGCAGCTTCCACAGCTCTTAAGAGTCCTTTGAACTAAACTCTTCCAATTTAAAGTGATGCCAGGTTTCTGTCCGTGCATATCCAGCCACCTTCCCTGTGGAAACAGGGACAGAAATGGATCTATCACCCATAGGTAAGCCAGCAGTCAGCAGGTCAGGCTAAGATCAAAGCCCAAGTGTCCCAGAGGTTTGGGCCATGTGGTTATTGGGGGGTGTGTAGGTGACTTTGTTGCTCCTTATCTCCCACATACCAACGCCAGCTGCTCTCACTCTATTTGTTTCATACTGTTCCTTAAACATTCTTGCAAATTTTAGGTTACTGCTCAGAAAGCTCCGAAAGTACATCGTGTTTCTGCTGGAAAGGTACAAGGGCAGGACAGGACCGAGTCCTCACTACTGCAGTACTGTGGTACAATTAACACGTGAAGTAAAGCATGTATTGAGATGTCACGATGTTCAAAGTCACTTCACGTGAACCCCAGTGCCACCCAACAGCCTCCACCCAACAGCCTCTGAATTCAGAAGCAGCACAACAATGTGTTTTGTATTACACTTCTGCAGCAGCTAGTGCAGGCTTAGACAGATAATACCAACTCCTTTAGGCCCCAAATCCTTCTGGCTGCCTTTCACTTAAGCCCTTCCAAGCACTCAGGTATTTAGGTTTCAGTGCACACTGTCTCCCCGAAGCCACCACCACCACCAGTGTGGCAGCAAATGGAGCCTCCCAAGGGGGCATCCTTCTGCCACAGGAGAGGGATGGCTCAGCACAGAGCCCTGGGCATCACTCATGGTCCTCGTGGCGCTGGAGGGTGCCGTGGGGACTGTCCCAAACCACAGTACTGCGGCTGTGCTCCTGCAGAGATACTGCCAAAGGCCAGCCGCTGACATCTCGCCATTAACTGCATTCACACTACTCTCCTGCCACGTTTCCCGGGAAATCTAGTTGCTACGCAAAATAAAAAAAAAAAAAAAAAAGAAAATGGGTTAACTGCCTGATATTTCTGTTCCTGAGACAGCACACTTAAATCTTCTGGGAGCCTGCTTATTCCCATCCTCTCCTTCCCGCAGCTCTTTTAGGGCAACTCCCCTCAACTGCAAAGCCATTAGCACATATTGTTGCACTTTCCCTGAACCCCAGCCACACTTTAACTGCTTCCTGCCCGGCTCTTTTCCTGACTATTCCTTGTCCTGTGATGTGACACCGCAGTTCCTGCTGCTGCACTTCACCGGCCTCCTGGCAGGGAAGCTCTGCTAACCTGGCTGTCAGATGCAATAACTGCTGAGGGCTGCAAACCTGCCCTCTGAAAACCTGTAGAGCTAAAGCTTATTCTCTGTCTCCTACACTACAAAAGCACGACTGTTTCAAAGAGCCAGCGGCTCCCGAAAATCCAGCAGGCCCTGTTTTGCCTTGCAGTGGTCATTTTGCTCATGATTGATGTTCAGGAAGTGGATTGCTTCCCCTCTTTTAGACCCTATCTGGATTCACAGCAGCAAGGATCAGCAAATGCTTTCCGCTCCGGTCCCTTTTAGCTGTGTCTGTAAATGGCCTTTGAGCCACAGCAATTTGGAGGTATTCAGCCTCTGAATCCCTAATTCCTTTCAGCGTGGTATCAAGGCTCTGCACACGCTGCCACCCCGGGAATGCCTTGCTAGCAGCTTCCCATTTCACTGGCTGTGCCAGCGATTCAGCTCACCAGGATGCTTTGTCAATGTAGTAATCCCAGCAATTGTCTGCTTGAGTACTTCATGGCAATCAAAAGCCATTTAAGATTTCAGGTTTGTCTTCCTCTTCCCCCCTCCCCACCTTCCCCCCCGAAGATGTCTTCCTGTCACCAGGACATTAGCTCATTTCTTTCACCAACGGAGGTGAGAAAAACGCATTTAGCCCTACCACATCGCTAAGAGTCTCCTTATCCATCCCTTCCAAGAGCAGACATCATCTCTAGAGGTTAAACCAAAATAGCTGTGCAGCAAAAAGCGACACTCAGATCTCCTTCTAGGGGCTGAAGGAGCCCGGTTTCATTAGTTGGATTTGTTAAGTTGCATCTTTAGCCATTGCTTTGTGAGAGCAGATGTTGCAGATCTGGTTCTGTAAACCCAGCTCTGCCACAGCACGCGACTGCTCAGCCAGCACGGGCAAAACCAGGGATGAGAATCCTTCCCACACCAGCAAAGCGAATTCCTCCCAGAATAACACCAACCTCTGGACAATATTGTGATAAATTTCCCTTCCTTGAATTCTTGATGCAAAATCTGAGGGACGCTAGACAAGCTCTTCTACCAGAAAACATGTTACGTGATGTTCCAACACAACTCCAGCCTCTCTGTATGTAAATGTAAATTACACAGCACATGAGATTTGCAATCCAAAATGCTCCATCCCACATGGTGATGAAAAGAACATAACCCTGAAGAAACAGATTCTTTTACCCATTTCAAAGCACCAATCATGCTCTCCCTGTAACTTAATTACAGGTCTAGTACTGAAAGAAGGAATTAAGTTTCCGTTAAAACCATCGTTGGTGGACAATACGCCTCAGATTGCCCAAATTAAGCAATTTTACTGCATTTGGTGCTGATATAGAGATATCTTGAAACCAGAGCTGGGCAGAGGAGGAGATGGAGATGGCCCGTCCTACACGGTTTTGCCATCCTGTTCTTATTGGCCAATAGGGCCGAGTACTTTTCAGCCAGGGCAGGCGGGAGATGGAGAAGGGTTTGTTCCAGCACAAGACTAAAGGGGATGTTTTATTAAAGATCCTCTCCAGAGCTCCTGGCCACTCCTCCGATGGTGCTGGCTGTGCAGAGCTCAGCCAGAGCTGGGGTTATACCCGAGCTCACATTTTAGCTCTTAACTCTTTCAGATTCCCAAGCCAGGCTTCCCGCGCAGCCTCCCAGCACTGCCTGCTGGCGTGGACGCCGGAGCAATAAGCATATTCCAGCATATTTCAGCAGAGCAGAGTGTTTCACCAAAGCCACAGACACGTCTCTCACAGAAGAGATGATTATCCTGATGCTGCCGAGGCTTTGGACAGAATTCCTGTTAGCGCTCACGGCCATATCCAGCTACAGCTGGAGACCATGCCGCGAGCTACAGCAAGCAGCACAAAGATTATCCCTGCTCCAAAAATAGGTGTGCTCAGGTAACAAGCACTCGGCTCTGAGCCCCCAGTTCCTGCATTAGCTCCATCAGCCCAACGCTTGGAGCATTTCACCCAAGCTTACTTCCCTCATCCCAGCTGTTTCACTGCCTGGTCCAGCCTCAGCAGCAGCTGTGGCGAGCAAAGGTGGGTTTTACTCTTTGTTCCCAGATGCCTTTTCTGGGTCTCATTCCCAAGCACATGCTTTTGGCTTGGTGCAGTGGTCTTTTCTCCCTATCCAGAGGGTCACAACGGTCTCCAAACTTTATTACTGTTCCCGTCACGCTGTCAGCTCTCCCCAGAAGCAGCAGCCAAGGACTGCACCAGCGTGGCGCAGCCGTGCCAAGGCAGAAGCGCTGAGGGACGAAGTACTTAGACGCCTGTGCCCCCTTCGGTGACCGGAGGTCGGTGCCCCCTCGCTGTGGTGGGGCATCCTGACCCTCAGGCAAAGCCGCTGGGGCCACCTGCCAAGCGGCACTTGGCTGAACCAGACCCTGTGAGAGCGGCAACGCGACTCCTTCGACCCCTCGCATCTCCGCCGACCTGCCCGGGCAGCGGAGGAGCGCTCGGGGCACTGATTCTCCCGCACCCCGCACCCGCCCGGAGAGCGCCCCGGGGCTCCCTCCCTGCGCCCGGGACGGTGCGAGGAGAGCCGCGGCTGAGCGTGCCCTGAGGATCGCGAACACCTGCCCCGGGCAAGGGCGAGCGGTCCCCGGGGCCGGCAGGGACATCCCGGATGCAAGGGCATCCCGGGCCGGGGGCTCATCCCTCGGGGGGACCGGCCGTGCCCAGAGCCGAGCCCAGCCGAGCGGGACTGAACCGAGCGAAGCCCAGCTCAGCTGACCGCGGCCAAACCGAGCCGAGCCGAGTCCAGATGAATGGGACCGAACCCATCCGAGCCCAGCTCAGTTCAACGTGGCCAAACCGAGCCGAGTCAAGCCAAGCCGACCCGACCCGACCCCAAGCCCAGCCGAGCAGACCCCCAGCCCAAGGCAGCCCGCCGGACCCGAGCCCCGCCGAGCCCTCCCGCCCGCAGCCCCTCGGCCCCCCGCCCGCCCTCTCACCGGTGCGCGGCCACGGCGCGGCTCCGCAGGTACTTCTGCGCCGTCATGACCCCCACGAAGAGGAAGCTCTGAGCCGGCGGGCCGGGGCGGCGCGGCGGGGCGGCGGCGGCGGCGGCGGGCGGCGGGCGGCAGCCCTGCGGGCGGGCTCGGTGGGGCCGCGCCGCCGCCGCCAGCTCGGAGGCGCGGGGCAGGACGAGGCGCGATGCGAGCACGAAGCCCAGCACCAGCCCCAGCAGGACGCTGAGCCAGGCGCGGCGGCCGCGGCCCGCCATGCCCGCCCGGCCCCGCTGCTCACAGCGCCGCCGCCGCCGCCAGCCGCGCCGAGGCGCCCAGCGCCGCCATGGGGGAAGGGGCAGGGACGGGAAGCGGAGGGAGGGGAGCGGGGGGCCGCCCGCCTCCCCGGCCCTGCCCCTCGGCACAGGCGCCGTGTGCGGCCCCTGGCCCCGCCCGGACGCCGCCGAGGTGGCGGGGCCGCCGCGGGTGCAGCCCCCGGGACGGCCCCCGGACCCCGCGCGGGGGTCCCGGCGAGGGGATGGAGGAGGAGGTGGGGAGCGGGAGAGGGAGCCGCGGTGGCCCCGGGAGCCGGCTCGCAAAGCACCACCCTGGAGCGGCACCGCGGGACGTCCCGCCCCGTCCCTGGAAGCGTGCCAGGCGGGGCTTGGAGCAACCTGGTCCAGTGGAAGGTGTCGCTGCCCGTGGCAGGGGTGTTGGCGTGAGATGAACTTTAAGGTCCCTTCCGACCCAAACCAGTCTGTGTTCTATGAGAGGGACCAGCACCTTGACCCAGCAGCCCACACTGGGGACAAGGACCCTGACCCAGCACCCCACACTGGGGACAGGGACCCTGACCCAGCAGCCCACACTGGGGACAGGGACCCTGACCCAGCACCCCACACTGGGACCCTGAGACTGGCACACCAGAACATCAGCCCAGCTGGGACAGGAGGCTGAAAGAACATGGGTGCCCAGATCTGGGGACAGGGACTGAGACCCTGGACATAACCCCAGGACCAGCATCCCAGCACCCTGTGCCAAGACCCCAGGGCAGAACCCTGGCTCAGGGGCCAGCAGTGGGACACCAGCCCTTCAGACCACGATGGGAAGGCACTGGGACACTGGGACCCTGACTCAGGATAGGCACCAGGTCGGGTTCCTGCTGCCCAAGCCCCAGCCCTGCCCCACGGCACACGCAGAGCCAGAGGGGAGGCAGGCGGTGAGGAGCAGCCTTCCAGCCCCGTTTGCCTGGCACTGATGCATTCCTGCAGCACATGCTCTGGTGCCAGGGAGTGAAGGCACAGGCAGCCTTCCGTTTTTTCCCACCTTGCTAATTAACTCGACCAGAAATAGGTCAGTCTGTTTCCATCCGCAGGCTACAGCGACTGCTCAAGAGTGAAGACTTTATTGAGTGGAGATTTCTTTTTCTTTTGTCCAAACTGACTCTCCACGTGCTTTTCATCTACAGAGTGCTTCAGCTTCAAACACTGCAGACCCAAAACCTTCACATTTCACAGGAAAAAAACCCTCCGGTCTTAACAGAAGAAACTTATCAAGCACAGCCCACTGACCTCCTGCTTATCATTGTGGTTTTTTCCGTTTCCTGCCCACTTCGGCATTTCTAAATGCCATTTTAAATTTTATTTATATCATGATGTCATCCACAACAAGCTGAGAAGAAGAAAAGTCTCGGTGTAACGGCAGTCTGCTCTTTTGAGCAAGAACAGTTGCAAGACAGGAAACCATAACAAATGAATCCTCTACATTAATAAGCCAAAGAGAGGCATACATAAAATATTTTTATGATCCATGTATCACAAGTAATTGTATCACATCTGGGATTGAGCAAGTAATAAGACAATCTGCTTATCTAAAGAACTCGATGACATGTCTTGAAAACAATGCTTTTGTGCAGGGGTTTATTGCCCTTCTAATGGTGCAATCCTCATACCAAGGTCAGCACCGGTGAACTCTTGATGTCAGGAGCAACAAATAACAGAAAGAAAGTGCCATCACAATTTATGGTATTAAACAACAATAAAACTCAAGAAACATAGAAACTAGATAAGAAAATAGATAGGAAAAAAAGAGCAGTTTTCCTTTCGGTTGCCCACGAGCAGAACACAGAGGTATCGAAATGTGTGTCTGTGGGAAGGGAAAGAGGAGAACTAAATGGTGAAAAGGGGAAAGGAAGAACAGTCCAAACTGGAATACACATGAGGTGGGTAAAGTGAGGAAGGGGCAGGAGCACCACTGCTTGGCAGAGGCTAGCTGGACTGTCCTTTCCACCCCCTTCCCAACCACTACTGTAATTCCTTTCTATTTCCCAGGGTTTGCAACGCTTCATTATTATTTCTAACTATGGGTGCCCTGATCCCTTTCCATGAAGTCTGGGGTTATCGTCAGACTGTGCCACTCTGCACATGTGGATCTTTTAGCCCACTTTGAAAAGCTTCTTCATCAGACTCTGCTGCTCCCCTCTCCCCACAAGCCTAAAATACAGGACACTGGTAGACATTCAAGCTGAAGTAAAAAGTAAGGCCACTCCTTTCCAAGAGAGGCACATGTGGCAAGTCCATGAGCAGGAACAGGATTACTCTCTGCGTGCTCCAAATCAGCTGTAAAAAATTCCTGATTCAAGGGAAAGCCACTGTGGCCTATGAATTACAGGAAAAGGCAGAGCTAGCGTGGCTAAAAGGCAATAAAAAAGAGAAAAGTTGGGGCTGGGGCTGGGGAGCTGTCAGTTGGCTTCTTCCCACAGAGAAAAGAAGTTAGTCATCAGAACTGAAAACTCCGTGCAAGTTCAGCACACATGGAAATGATGAAGCAGAGCAGCACGTTCCCCTGTAGGATCTCCTCAGCCCCGAGCTCCCCTTCGGTGTGTTCCCACCCCCCTGCACCTCCACAGCAATCACAATCCCGGAGCCCTTCAACGCAGGGGGTGAGAACACTTGGGGAAGGGGCAGGACAAGGAAGGGGCAATTTCCTGGTGCGACCTGGAGAGGAGGCACTGTCAGACTTATTGCTGTCACCACACGAGATCACAGCCCTGGCTGTAAGGCCGAGATGTCCAGCTATAAAGAGGGGGGTGGCACCTGGCAACGTCCTGATACCCCCCAAAACCTCCCACAGCACATCCAAGTGCCTCCCTTTATGTCATTTGTTGTGCTAAACTCACGTTCCAAAGTGCTGGCAGGCAAATGCCCCTTCTACTGCTCCTGCCCCCTCCCCTGTTCTTGCATAGAGCAGTTGCTGTTTCCACTACTGGAAAAAAAAAGGAAAAAAAAAGCAGGTTAAAGGAAAACTTGAAGAGAATAGCTTAGTTCTTCCAGTGGAAATATAACCCTGCTGTTACCTGCCTGAGTGTGTTTTTAATCTGGATGGCAGAGAAGGGTCATACTGCATAATCACCTTTAAGTGCCTTCCCCTATTAATACAGCTCTTAGTCTCAATAAACAGTTGACACTATATATTATGGCTCCTACATATTAAAGGCATGGTATTTTTCTCATCTAACACTGTATACAAGCATAAGCACATTTTTATGCAGCATGTTTTCTATTCCATGTGGGATGGCTTAAGGAAATATTCCGAGGGCTCTCCAAAATCTGCAGAGGATGCACAGAGTGTGTGCTGATTCTCCATGTTCCCATCCCACTCACTCCAGTGAGATTAGCACCCTGACCAGCCAGCAAGAGCCCACTTGACAGGCCCACATGGTTTAGATTCATAATCAGATTAACAAAACAGTAATCCTATTTTTGAACAATGAAAAAGCCAAGTCCTTGAGGCGGTGAGCTGGTGTGTGTGTGTGTGTGTGCACACAGAATAGATCTCATCCTTTTGGAATAAAGAACCTTAATACAAAATGAAAAAAGTTCCTTGCACAGAGGAAACTCTGCCCTGTAGAAGAAAAAGGGACTATCTTATATTATACCACTTCTTTCCCATTGGTTATGATCTCTGATAGGCCCACTCCAACACTTGCAGGATGCACCTTCTACAGTACACACTCTTTACCACATTTTAAAATAATAAAGAAGTGAACTACTTCCCGAATGCTCCAGAAACTTCAATTATGAATGTTCCAGTACTTATACTGTAAAAACTGCCCATGCATTGGAAAATGAGCATATTTCATACACTCAAGGTAGCAGACTCATGGTGGAAAAAATCTCACTGGGCAACCAGCAGCATTTGTCTCTGTCACAGTATTTCCAGCACCGTTGCATTTTCCCAAATGATGCGGAAACTCCTTCCCCAGTTCCAGCCCTCACTTCTTTTTTCCCTCCCCATCCTCTTCTGGTGCTGCCCCAGACCGGTCCCAGCCTTTCCTCTCAGCCGAATGACTCAGAAGGTGCCCGCTCAAGGGACTGAAGGAGAGCTGTCACGGCTCGCTCCTGCTCAAAGCCAGCCCGACATTGCCATCGCCCGGCCCGGCCCCGCAGTGCAGCGCGCCGGCCTCCGCCTTCCCGGGGCCGAGTGAGGACATTCCCGGGAGTTTTGGGAGGTGATGGAAACCCCTCCTGCTCCCCATGTAGCCCATCAGGCGCCTGCTCAAGCCTCCAGGTCTCATCGCTCGTTTGGCAGCAGAAGCACTGCGAGGTGCACCGAGGCACTCGAGCTCTGCAGCACGGAGGGGAAGGTGACCTGTTTTTAACGTGCTGCCGCCAGATCCGAGTCAAGAAACCACTGGAAAAGTCTAGAACGTGTATTTAAACAGCAAGCATCAAGATGTGATAACCTAAAATGCAGAACAGCTGAAGAAGTGGCAGTTACATTACCCAAGAAATGGAATTTACAGGGAGCACTACCCGCCCCCCCCCTCATATGAGATGAAGTTTTAGGACCCAGGTTTGGGTTTCTGCAAAGTGCATCTTTTAGGCCAAGCTAACACTAACTCCCCATTTTAATGCAGAGCACTAGAACTAGGCTGAAAGGCCAGGTGTTTCAGGATATTGATTTTTCTTCCATTCTCTTTAAATATAATTTTCTAAGTTCTTTTCCCTGCCCTTCCTACACGACTGTTACTCACGGCACCAGCTTGGAAGCTCAGCTTGGCAACCAGCACACAGAGAAAATCTTGATCAGCAAACTTGACACAGAGGGAGGAATGAAAATGTATCAGTGGAGATCTTGCTCTGTGCTGAGAGTGCTTGTCAAAACACACATGATATCACCAATAAATACATGAGAACAGGAGCTGCCCACCTGCCAGTGCCTCGCAACAGAAACCTGCCACGAAAATGTGCATTTCCCCCCAAAAGCTGAGCTGAGGGGACCTATCCCATTGCAGACATCGGGTTTTCATAAGAAAAATAAAGGAAGTTTTTGAAGTTGCTGGCTCTGGAGCTGGGAATATGTGCAGGGTGTGTGTCAGGCGTGGAACAGCTGGCTTGGAAGCTCCCACAAAATCAGCTACAACGGTGCAGCCGGGCCAGGACACCACCCAGCCAGCAGCCGTGTGCTTTTCCTTCGTGGTTGCAGAGCTGTTCCAAAAGCCAAGCTTTCATTCCACAAAGGAGGGAGAGGGGAAAAAAAAAAAAAAGAAAAACCCAAGGCTTCTGCCCATCCAAGTCTAGACCAGCTTTTTTTTTTTACAGCTGGAAATTACATAGTTTTAGTGTTCAGCAACAGCGTGGACAAAACACACTGAGCCTTGCTCGTGGCTAAACTGATCCCTTAAAAGCTGCCACTTTTGAACCTGTCCAAGGGCAAAATTCATCCATCTGATGCAGAGACGTGTGCTGATGTGCAGCCAGGCTTCCAAGAACACAATTGCCCAGAGAAGGGAGCAGCCTGGTTGAGCAGGAGGCAGAAAGAACAGCATTAGGGGCTTTAGATGCAGCCAGTAATCACAGGGCTGCTGGTAAAATGTACAGGAGACTGTCAGGCTGGATGCCATCCTCCTTCACAGAGCTCTGGAATGTGAAGTCACCTTCTAGAGAGGGGAATAAGACAAAGCCCAAGAGTCTGAGCACAGCCCAACTCTCTTTTGAGTCAAAACAGTACAGAACCCTGTGAAACACAGCAGATGAGATTTGTTAGTACTGGCATTCCACATCTCCATTCAGACTCTGCAAGGGCAGCTGTTCCTTGCAGATACAGGTGTAATTATCATTTTAATTCACACTGATCTTTGATTAACACACAGGTACCTCTGGAATGCCTGGGAACAGCTCTGCTGACAGACTCCCTGATTGCCCTCACCCTCCCAAGTCCATCCTCTGCTATTTATTAAAAGTGTCCAGCATAAGCAACATATTTTTTTTAAAAGTCCAAGTATGCAATCTCTCTCTTAAAATCTTTCCCTCATTTCACAATGTTTTTGAAAGGCATAAATAAAGCCAAATAAATTTTATGAGTGTGACAACACGGAGGCTTTTTTGTTCAGTTTTAACTCCAGTGCTCAGTATCTCCTGATGAATAGTTAAGAGAACTATGCACAAACCAGATCTCATCTGCAATTTAAAGAAAACAAAAAATTTTGCTCCTCCAGCATATAAACCATCCAAAAGCAATAAAAAATACTTAGCTGCACATTTTTCAGGCATTTTTTTGTGCCTCTGAACACTTGCTTGATTTAGGATTTTTCAGTACCCAAAATACATTACTCTACAGCAGTTAAATACCATTTTACAGCAGTTTAATAGCCTTGAATTAACTCTAAGTTTGTTACCCAGCTTCTTCCAGACAAAGGTATTTCCACCTGCATCAGCAGAGCAAGAGGCTTCTTGCATAACTGCTCCAGTGGGGGGAAAAAAGAAATCTCCTGAAGGCTTTTTAATATGATCTTTCATAATTCAAGTTCTTGGGAATTCATACCAAAGCAGGAACAATGGATTCATTAAATAGTTCACTTTCACCTAATGCTTTCTGCATGCCTCACTCTTAAGTTATAAAGCAGCAAGCAACCACCTTTCCATAATGTTTGTGGTCAAGGGAGAGCTTTCCATTTGAAGTCAGAGGAAAAACCCTTCCATCTTGTGCAGGTTATGAGCCAAAAAAGAAGTTTTACAAACTGAGGTTCTTCCTCCCACGCTGTTCAATAGCTTAGAAGTGTCTGATCAAGACAAATTTAGGGACTTCATGATTAAAATAAAATATTAAAAAAAAAAGGGAGAGAAGAGAGAAAGTTGAAGTTTCCAGAAATATGTAAATCACTTCATTCTTACTATGTATGTCCTAATAAATCTCAGAATTGGGCAAAAAGCCATATCCCTAGTCCTAGCAAGAAGCAAGTCTTGACTCACAGAGAGAGATTAGCACATGCTCAGTCCAGACCTGCTTGTTTCTTAAAATGTTTTTACTGAATTAAATCAACCCATCCTAACCATTTTATCAGCACGAGGATTTCTGCTTCATTATGACAAACCTCCCCCAGTTGTTTTTCTGAAGACAACCCCTCAGTCTGTTGCCTGTTTCCCCAGCACAAGGGGAAGGTGTTCCCCAAGGCCGGAGTGAGATTACAACTTAACCCTCTTTCCTGAGGAGGAATCTTCAGACCTTGAAAATATCCTTACCCACCTCTAGTTTTCTTTTGCCTCGCTAAAGATTAAAACCTGAACTTACATACACCAATCTGTGTTACAATGATAGGAATTTAAGTTTACATACCAAAACGGGCAATGGCCAGGAAATGAAAATTAGTTTCCATAGGAACATCACAACAGCATTTCCACTTCTCCACACACTTATCTGGCAACTTTAAAACTCACTGGTTAACACGCTCCTGTAACATTTATAGTCAAGAGAAGTATCTAATGCACATGAACAGTGTATTCAAAGTTGGCACTTGTACCTGTTGATGAACACAAGGATTCCAAGAGCAAGTCACAGCCCTCCTGAGCACACACCACCCTCAGCCTGGGTGCTGCACAACCTGGCAGCAGGCTCATCTCATCATCTCCCATCCTGCTTTCTGCACATTTATTGCACTAGAACACCTTCCTTCTATGAAAAAATGCTGTAGAAAAACCACGAGATCGTAAATACTAGATTTATCATTGGTTTGCAATTATATTTAATATTAATAATGTCTTGTTTTTACAAAGCAGTTGAAATAAAAAAAAAGAAAAAAAAAAGAAAAGGAATAGCAAGAACCCCCCTCCCCCCATCTGCTGTCTAGCATGTCTAGCATCAGTTAACCTCACTGGTTTGTTTACCATTTATGAGGGAAACGTCATTCAAGCTGACTCGTTACAGAGACTCTTCTGCAATAACTGGCCACGGTGCAAATCCGTGGCCTTTGTCAGATCACCTGTGTTTTTCCTGGAAGTCCCTCTGCCTAAATTCAAAGTGTCTGCCAATGATAATATCCTTCCTCTCAGATCTGGTAACACACGTCTGAGGATGGCAAACATCCTCATTTTTGCAGAGGTAAACAGAGATCATTAAATTTGCCTGAGGCCAGTGCTGTGAACAGCCAGAGAGCCCAGATCTCCCAATTCCAGGTGATTCACCTTGGCTGGAGTGAAAATGAACTGATTACACTGGGAATTGCTTCTCTGTCCTCTCTAAGAGGATCAGGTACTCCTCTTGGGTAGGACCATCCAACGCAGTTTGGAAAGGGTGTGAATCTGTTTTAAGTGACCACCAGCACTAAACCAGCCCCAAAGGAGTCCCTGTGACAGGCAAGCTGTAGGCAGGTAGACAGTGGGTAAGATCAAGGCTGCTAGTGCCATGGGGCACTGGGGAGGTTAACCTCATCCACCTGCTGACGGGCCTCTCCGGCCTGGTCTCCAGGAACACGTTCCACCTCCTTCTCCAGACAGTGGGTTGTAGCCTGGGAATACAGAGGAGACATCCATCGTGTCAACATTCATCCTCCACAGCCCTTCACCAGCACACAAGGAACACCAAAAACAAATCTCACCGTTATTTACGCCTCATTCATACGTACTACATAGGCAGCATTTTATGGAAAATGAAAGCAGAGAAAATATCCAGTCTTGAGAGGGCTTATTTTTGTAGTGCCAACAGTAAAAGCCATTGCAAAACGCTTGTGTTTTAATATGATCAATTTGGATCAAATTAAATTGAAATGAATTACCATTTGATTTCTCTAAGTCTGCACTAAAGCTGTAGTGCTGCTCTGCAGGATAAACAGAGCGGTAACAGCAGCTTTTACAGTAAACTCTGTGGGAGTGTAACTGTTTTCCAAGAGCCCTAACAGTCAGGCACTTAAATAATCCTGTATTCCAGACCTGCATGGTCTGAAGGTCAAAAGGTAAATCCACTCATTACTACTACAAGGTATTTTTTTAGAGATTTTCAAAAGGTGAGCATAGATAGTGAGAAAAATACATTTTAGTTAAACATCCTAATGCTTCAGCTATGGGAAACTTCATTTCAGGACACACTCAGAAAGATAAAACCTGGCAAATGTCCTCAGTTTGTTCTGCACAAAGCAAAGTACCCAAATTGTAGCAGCACAGGTTTCCCTGTTCCACTGAAACTCCCAGCATCACCTTCACCTTCTAAATTTGTTTTTCTCAGAGTAGCCAAGTTTCTCTTTCTAGCTTAATTCAGCAGCTGAACAGTGCAGATGGTTCTTTCACTTCATGCTGATCTCACCTCATGAGAAGATACCAGACCTTTAATTCTATAATTGGTTACTTAAGCAAAGATTTTGCTTAGGATTAAGCCAGGAGAGGTGGAAGGTGGAAAGGTGCCTCAGCCCAGCTGCCCTGATCCTGGTTCTTAGCACAGCTCTAACCCACACATTGCTCACCCCCAGGGAGGTAAAAATCCCATGTGAGAGCTACCAAAGATATCTGATAGGATCAGACACCGCACTGCCCTCATATTAAACAACCTAAGAGAAATCAACTTCTTGATTCCTTCAAATGTCAGGAAAACTATTCAAAGCACAAATTTCAGCACTACTGAGATTTGACGTTTAATATGTTTAATCAAGAATCTGCAGATTTTATGCACTTAATCAAGTGGCTTACTCAGTGCTGCACCCTAAGTGGGTCTCCCTTTCAGCCTGCTATGATTAAGGTTGTCTACACGATCCACTCCACTGTGGAAAACTGTAATTAAAATATACCCAAAGCAGCATTTGCAGGTAAGGCACAGGCTGTTGGGCTGAGAGGAGAGAAAGGAGACTGCCTGCATGGCCAGTGTATGGCAAGGAGCCCAACAAGGGCAGTGTGAGGCCATAGGAAGCACTTCATCCATCAAGGTGATTTCAGCAGGTGACAGTGAGTTTAATGGTGAGACCTACTGGTGCTTTGTGACAGTTGATAAGGGTTTATACATCTGCAGGATTTATACATTCAATAGGTCATTACTGTGGTATCTGTTAAATAAGGTCAGATTTTGCATGATTAAGTCTTTCATGTTCCTGAATCTACATAATAAATCTACAGATTTACTTCCAGCATTTAGTTCATGCTATGGGAGCTTGAAAGACAGAGCAGGTATTAAATTACTGGACTTCTACCATAATGGGGGAGGTATTCCAGAAATATTGTGAAAATCTATAATTTTGAGGGACAAAAATCTCAGTAAATTATGGCAAAAGCATTAACAAAGAAAACTGGAACACTATTTTCCTGGGGAAAAGCCCCACAAAAACTTCCTGCCAGGGTTTTTGCACAGAGTGCAGAGCAGACCAACTGACCAGAGACACAGAGCTCGTTTGTGAGGCACATTTTGCTTCCTCACTGATGAACACAAGAAGTCTGTACAATGACTATGGACACAGCTGGATAAATGCTCTGTTTCAAGCTCAGGGTGTCTCAAGGATCCCACACTTACCCCCTCCTCTCAAAGGCTTCTTGTTTGGTTTAGATTTCGGGACCGCTGAGGTGGAGGCACCAGACTCTGCTTCTTGCTGTTCAGAGAAGCAGAAAGTTACTGAGTGTGAACTTCAGTTAATTTAAACACACAAACACAAGTGTGGCCTGACTAGCAGGGTTGTTACCTGATTCAGCTTCAGGTTTCCTTTGTAGCTCTTCCCCTCTTGCATGCTTTCCCACATCGCTATCTTCTGCCTCCGCTTCTCTTCTTCAAGCTGCAGAAAAAAAATCCAGGACATAACAAGATTTCCGAACAGAATCTCCAGAAACAGCTACAACAGACTCATCAAAGCCCAAGGGATCCACATTTATGTGATGCAGTAGCTCTGAGCTTATGGAAGCATTTACTTCTATACACACCCACATCTTCCCCTTCTCGGTATGTGTCTGTATGTTCACCTCCTCAGACTCTGTCTGCAGCTTCTTTTGGCCACTTGGTGCTTTAAAACATTTTGAAAGTAAAACAGAACCAAGTGGCAAGCTTAAATCCTGAGCCTATAAAAAGCACTAAGTACAGAATATTGCACATGACAGGACTTCAATGCACAACGTGGGGTTCCTCAGAAGAGAGTCAGCTGCATTTTTACATCCCCATATACACACTGTCAACAACTCTCCCAGCTCTCTTCTAGAGGAATTTATCCACAAACCAAATAAATTAATGGTTAAGAATCACTGAATGGTTTGGATTGGAAGGGACCTTAAGGCTCATCCACTCAAGGACACCTTCCACTATCCCAGGCTGCTCTAAGCCCCATCCAACCAGGCCTTGGACACTTCCAGGGATGGGGCATCCACAGCTTCTCTGAGCAACCTGTGCCAGGGCCTGCCCACCCTCACAGGGAGGAATTTCTTCCTAACATCTAACCCAAAGAGAAGAGGTGGGATTAACATGCTGATCACACCCACTCCTCTGCCCTGCCCCACACAGCAATCTGCTATTCCCTGTCACCTCAGGCTGTAATTCAAACCCTTAACTTGCAGCAAGGCTGAGCTACAAGAACTCACATTTGCCATTAAGAACACAAAATGCACGTATGCAGTGGCACAATTAATCCAAACGCCAGTAAACCCCCTGCAGCCACTCACTGCACACACAGCTGAGTTCCTGCAGGTTCAGATTCACCCGTGGAAAAATCAAGATCAGGCCCACACAGTGACCCTGGCACACAATTACTTGTGCAGAGGCAAGTTCACAGAGGTGAATCACATCAACATTCCAGGGAAAACGAGTCTCCTGTTTGTCTGTATCTAACATGGAATAATCATTTCTTTAACAGCAGCAAAGTACTTGCTGACGAGTTTATGAGTTAAAGAAAGAAGCAGTCTCTGGTTACCTGTTTTTGTCTTTCTTTGTATCTTTCTGCTTGTGCATTCAGCTCCTCCTGCATCCTGAGGCGAGCTGCTGCCAAAGCTTCCTGCCTTCTCACCACCACATCGGGCTCTAGGAAATTGGGAAAGTAAATTCCAGATGATCTCCCCAAAGAACTGCAACAAGGAAAGGCTCACATCTCTCCCTGCAGCTGTTCTGCAGAAAATCACAGCTTAAGTCCAGTTTCCAGCTAATCTTTTACAGTAATTTCTATGCTGATTTAAATTTCATCGTGCTTTCACATTTTAAAGTTTTGAGTTTATTGAATTAATAAGGACAACGATGTAACTAACCCATAAAAAATTAACCTCACACCTCTGGGGTACTTGCTTCTATTTCTGAGGGATTTGTTTGATACAAATAAATTCAGAAATATCACCCAGGCTTCACAGGGATCCCATTTTTACCCAGAGAACTTCTTTTACGCAGAAGGCTGAGGCAAACCAGCCCACACTCACTCCTACTCCTTCTGGCAAAGGGTCCTGCTTGTGTCAGTGCTGCAGTGGATTTAACACACTCCACCAGCACAGAAATCACTTACAAACATGACACATCTATGTCTCAGAAAATCTACATGGAGTCACCATTTCTCTTCATGACTGGCCTTTAGGAGAAGTCAAAAGAAAAATTATGCCCCAAAAAAGGCAAATATTGCTCTCCCTTTTTCCCCAGCAGCTGAAGTGTCTCCCCATTTGTTGGCCTCCTTATATGTTTGCTACCATCCAGCGATGACTATGTGAAACAAATGTCAGCACTTTCAGTAATTTCACTTCACAGGCAGTTCTGGCAGTTAAACCACGGCTTAATTAGCACCACAAAAGAGCAGCAGAGGGATAAGGGCACGCAAGGGAGATTTTCTGGGGCCCCACGTTCAAGGTTCCAAAGGGATGGGTGCCAAGCTCTCGTGGACTTGGCAGATCCACAGGCACAGCCTGTGCTTTTACAGCAGGATCCTGTCTCTGTGAGCCTTGCAACCTGTGCCACACTCACTGAGATAACACAGGCTGCTACACCCCAAATGCACACAGTGCTGTAGGAGCAGGAACTGGGAAGGACTTAATTTAAAGAAAAACAATGAATACTAATTAAAAAAAAAAAAGTTAATATTTTCCCCCGGGGTTCAGATTTGGTTGTGTTTGGTAAGTTTGAAAGTTAATCTGGTAAGTGACCACATCTGCTTTCAGCCACCATTCCCTCAGCTCCTGCCACCACCAAGGGGCAGCTGTTCCCCCGCCCTGCAGGTGCCCAAACACGTCCCTTCGGGACACAGCCCTTCCTTCAGAACCTTCTAAAGACACTTCTCCCGGTCCAGCTTTTCCCAGCAGGACCCGGCGGGGCACAAACACCGCCCCGGGGAGGAGGGGGGCTTTATTTCACTGTGTTTACTCACCCTCCGCCGCCTCGGCCGCTCCGCGGGCGCCCGGCCGCGCCGCCAGGCTCCGGGACACCTTCTGCACGAGCAGATAGACGGCGACGGCGGCCAGGAGGATGTACCAGCCATAGCTGGACAGCAGCGACCCCACTGCGAGGGGACAGGCCGGGGGTGAGCGCGACATCGGGCCCGCCCGGCCCCGCCCTCAGCCCCGCCGCCCCGGCCGCGCCCCGGGCCCCGCTCCCCTCACCCGTGTGCTGCAGCACCTCCAGGCCGCCCCGGCCCAGCGACGGCCCCGAGCCCGTCCCGGACCCCGCCGCGGGCCCGCCGCCCCCGAGCTCCAGCACCGCCGCCATCGCCGCCGCCTCACGGCCGGCACCGCCCCTGCGCCGGGCACGCCCTCCGCGCCAATCACCGCCCCGTCCGCCGCCGCCTGCGCCAATCAGCGCCCCGTCCGTCACCGCCTGCGCCAACCACCTCCCCGTCCTGCGCCCCTGCGCCAATCACCGCCCCGTCCGTCACCGCCACACGTACGGGCACCGCCCCGCTCCGCCAATCACCGCCCTGTCCGCCGCCAACTCCAGCAAGCGACGCGCCCCTGTGCCTGACGGCTGCGGTGGCCAATGAGAGCAGAGGGGCCGGCGCACGGCAGACCAATCAGAACAGAGGGGCCGGCGCTCGGCAGCCAATGAGGGCGCGCAGAAGGTCCCGCCCGCCCCGCCCCCGGAAAGGTTCGCGGCACGGCGGGGAGAAAAAGGGAGCGCTGGTTTATTGGACACCGAAATGTGCAGGGACGGGGGCGATGGGCCCCGAGCGGCGCGGGAAGGGGCTCCGGGGCAGCACCGGAGCCGGCTACGGCCCGTTGGGCACCGTGTCCTCTTCCATTTCTTCTTCGCCGTCCTCCGAGGGACCTGAAAGAACAGAACAGAGTTTCAGGGAAGCTGCCGCAGGCATTGGTGTTCTTTTCCCACCCCTCTGCACAGGAGGACTAATAATGAGGACTTCCACTCCTTCCAGGAGGAAAAATCCAAGCAGCACTGACACACAGCAAACAGGTGACGTGAGGAGCCCGCCACGGGCTGTGTGTGCTGGGAGAGCTCCAGGGACCCACTGCTGCACCCACAGCCCAGGCACCGACACTCAGCACGAGTCCAGACGGACTCTGTAATTCATCTCATTTTTTAAAAATATTTTTAAAGTATTTTTAAAATATTTTTTGGAGCTATCCGATATAGTGAAGCCCCTTGTTTGGCACCTGCTCTGGAGGGAGTGCAGTAACAGCCCTGAGCTGCACTCGAGGCCAGGCAGATCCCACACCAATTAGGAGTCAGGGATGTGCTCCACAGTCCTTCTGATGATTGATAGTTACACTCATCTAAAATGAGCTTTTCAACTCCCAAAGCATCCTTTTCTCATAACTCCCTACTGAGATCACATAAAGCATCAGAGGGGTGGATTCTGCTTGGGGAACAAAAGCAACAGAAGTGAAGTGACCTGATTTTCGCTCTCTGCCAGGGATCTGTCCAGCCTGCAGCAAACCCTTCAGCCTCTCCACCTCGGCCAGAGTCGTGGCATTTGCTATGGCAGTCTGAAAACAGAGAGAGAACACAGTGAATCTTCACACTCAGCACCTTGCTCTGCTCACAATCAGCACAAGACACGGGTTTTTCTTCCAAGGTCCTACGAAAGTTCTACTAAATCCTAGAAAATTCTAAGTACAATCTTACTTCTCTCCTTATTAAACAAACTGCTCTCCCCTGGGAGATCTCTAAGCTCAGACTAACTTTCATTCAAGTTCTCAAAAACAGGTATGTCAGAACTAAAATTACAGGAAAAGCACCTAAACCAAAGTCAGGACACGCTGATCTATCCGTCTGAACAAAGGAAACATTTGTTCAGTTTGGATCCACGACAGTTTTTCTCCTGACACATTTACCTTAATTGCCTCCACGTCCCCTGGGGACGGCCCAGTTTTCTTTTTGTCAGTTGGCAGACCAGCCCCGGGGTTGAAGCTTCAAAGGAAAAATAAAGACCAGTTAAGACTTTTCGAAGAACAGGTGCTTCTCTAACTTGAAATGTTTCCAAACTGGGTTTGGAAGCATTTCATTCAATCAGGTGTAGTATCTTATCTTTGTTAACAAACTGATACAGTGAAGAATTGCCTCCTTCAGAAACACCAGCAACTTGTCCTGCTGTCCCATTCCCCCCCACCACCACCTTTTCCCCTGCTCAAAAAGAGAGGCAGAACTTAACTATTAATCAGGCAGTTGACAAAAGCTCTTGGCTTTGGATGTTGTTGAACACTCAGGAGGGTCTGTTGCCATTACAAAAGCAGGGTGGATAAATAAAGAGTAACCCAAACTGGGTTTCCCATTCTCATGTGTCCAATGAGATACTGCAACAGAATATGTTAAAGCCTCTTCTAGACTGGGTGTCATCTTAACACTCCAAAGGAAAAGGTTATTTGCTGCTGCTTTAAGCAGAAAAAAAGAGAAAAATCTGTAGTATGTCAAAATAGAAAGAGCTGGAAAGGAATTCCTGGAGTGCTGACCCAGCACCAGAGTGCTGCAACCTCTCTTGCAGCTATAGAAAGGTTTCCTTCATATTTATTGAGCTATTTAGTTCACTCAGCTGCTTGTTCTGAAACTACCACAGACCTGACACCCCTTCCACTCACAAACTAGAGCTGGAGTCCATCTATTAAAGCTTTAAATGCCAAGTAAGTTCAAGGCATTTTTTTATTTTACTATGAATTTGAAATGCTGTTGCCACACATGATCTGAATTCTTACTTCCAAATAGGCAGATTAAACAAAACATATGATGTACAACCTAAGAATTAAACTAAATAAACATATACTTGCAATAGCTTAACTAAAGATTTTCATCTGCCTTTATCCTCATAACTCCAGCAGATTTTATAGTTTATATTTCCTGGCAAAAGAAAAAATTTTAGTTACTAATTATCTAGGGGAAAAAAAAAACCAAAATAGACAAAGGCCACCACTCTACAGTTAAATAACAAAGAGAAAAAAATAAAATTTAGATTTCCTGCTCATTCATTTCAGTGAATCCACCCTGACCAAAGACCTCTTTCAAAGATATTCCTGAGATGCATTCACCACCACCCAAAACTCGGGGTGCTTGGAGCAGGCACTTCTGGCTCCCAAAGCTTTTAAGGCATCCTGCCAAGCAGCTGACACTCCAGTTTTCTGCCTGCCACTGCACACAGAGGAAGTGGTGTTTCTGAAGGAGGATGCCAGTGTAAATTTGTGTGTTTTATCTTACGTTTTTGCTCTCCTGGCAATATCCTTTGCAAGCTGTGCACCCCGTTTGCCCTTGAACATTTTCTCTGCCTCCTGTCGCTCCTACAGCGATACCACACACACAGAGTTAATTTGAGAACATCACAGTTTGCAAAGCTTCTGCCTTTGCCAAGAACAGACACTTTGGCTCATCTTCATCACTGAAATTGGTACATGGGGACCAGATGTAAGAACAAGCAGATAAACATTGCCCAGAAAGCTCAGAGATGTATCAACCTCGTGCTCTTAAAATTTAAACTCTTTCCCACGCTCATCTTCACCGAGAGCTGAGGGCTCTGCTGTGATTGCTCATTTCTTTCTCTAGAGGTCTGTCTTCTACCAACCCCAGAGGGACAGAAAGGAATAACACTGAACAAAGGCAGTAAAAATTAATTACACATAATTAAACAGACTATATCCTTAACAGAATGAAACCGTGAAAGAAAACAAGGAGCGTGTTTTAAAGCCACTTAAAGAGTTTCAATAAAATTTACAGCTATGGCAAAAAGCTTTCTGTCTTACTGAGGAATTTTCAAGAATGTAAAAGAAAAAAAAAAAAAATTTGCTAAATCAAAAGAAAGCAGACTTACTTTGAGTTTCACTTTTTGAAAATCCAGCACTCTGACCTGGGGAACTTTATGGATTAGGTACAATCTGTAATGCTTCTTATTTGTTACAGGATTCCTTAAAACGCTATAAAGCAAATAAAGGTTATAAAGAAGTTCTTAATATATTTTAAAATACATTTGTACTAAAATACATTAATATACTCAAAGTGCATTCACGTAGCTTTTGCTGTAAGGCTACAAATAACACCATTAAAAAAGTTCTTTGATATGATGGAGACTACAGTAAAAACTTGCACTTCATTAATAAGTAGATTTTGCTGAAGAAGGACATAAAGAACAACCTCAAAATAAGAATAAAAGCCCCAAACAAATAACTGAACCATCACATTTCCCACCTGGACACTGATCAACTGAAAAACCACAGGACAAACTACTTTTCTTCTTAGATCAAATGTAAGGTTACAGAAAAGTCCTTGCTTACACAGCTTAAAGTAGTTTGGAACAACAGTTTAAACCTTTTTAAGTTTTTAAAGTTTTTTAAAGGTCAAGTTTACTTCAGCCCTTGCTGGTTTATAGAGATGTTACATCTCACTGGTCCAGCAGCCACTCAGTGACACAAAGCCTCAGACATTAAATAGCAGATGTTTATGAAGCACAGTTTATTAATTCAATTAAGTTGTTTACTAATTCAATTTTTAGACATCAAGGATCTGTCACAGCTCATAAAAAGCAGAACACTCCAGACCAAAGCAGAGAGCCAGGCCAGCAGCAGAGTTCAAACACCAGAGGAAGAGCAGCTTTTGTTTTTAGGATTACATACCTCAGGTAGGTCAGTGATTTAATAGTTGCTAACGGATCCAGTTCGCCCTGGGAAACACAGAAACTCTAAGTCCATTTAGTGAAAAAGCAAATATTTGAAAACAAAGTTCCTGAACTCTTATCTGTTTTAGAGATTAATAAGAAGTACTGCAAGTATTTTAACAGGAAACCCACTAAGCTTTGTGCAAGCTGCAAATCATGTTCCTTAAAGTATGTTCACCATTAACACCAAACCCACATGATATTACTCTGAAGAAAAATAACCAACTATTACCAAAAGCACATGGTCCTACTCTCAGGAAAACGGTTCATTAGAAAGAGAAAAATCACAAATTTAAGCCTGTTTAAATTATCCTGCACCACAGCTTACCAGTTCAGCAATGTTGTTGTTGGTGAGAATGAGCTCTGTGAGGCTGGGCAGAGCCTGCTCCAGGTTCTCCCCGATCCGACTGAAGGACAACAAAAAACAAAGGTTTAATTTAGGCCAGGAGTCAGCAGTGGTGAAAACACACACAGAAACATGACAACACAGAGGGTCTCCCTGTGAAACAACCCAGCCTGGCACGGGCAGAAGTTTGGGTGAGCACCCACCACAACTAACAATATTTATTGCTCTGGCAATAAATACCAGAGCACTGGGTGCAACATGGGATTTAAACCCATTCACTTGCAGGTATCCCTGTTTTCTTGTCTCTACAGGGATGATTACAGAAATCTAAAGTTCTGGCCAAATTTCAAACTCTGCACCTCGCTGTCCTGGCTGAAAAACAAAGACTGACTCTTGCACTGAAAGAGGAAGGAAAATCAAAGAAGGCCTATACAGGACTTTTTTTATTTTATTTCCATAAAACAAACACTTCTGCAGCTGCCCAGCACTGACAGTCACATACATTTCTCTCCCAGGAGCATCTTCCTCTGCCCCAGGGTCCCACCTGGCCCACACACAGCCCCTTACCAAATCCTGTTGTTGTTCATGAGCAGAGTTTTCAGCCTCCTCAGCAGGGGGAACCCATCCAGCTTCCGGATCTCGTTGTCAGAGAAATCAATGGCATCAAACTGGTCCAGGGTGGCTCCCAAGTTCTCAATCACGGGGATTTTGTAGCCTGGTGAGAGAGGGCAAGGCAGGGATCAGGTGGTGCCCAGAGCAAAGCAAAGCGGGGGGCACGCCTCGATGGACCCAGGATGCTGATAAGTCTCAGTCAAAACACCTCGGTGTTGACTCCTCCACGCCACTCACAGACCAAACATTCCCTCTCAAACAACAGCCCCCGTGGCTTTTTGAACCCCTCTCCTTCAGCAAACACCCCAAGTCCCCCCCTATATGTGACTCCCCCACCCTTGCAGCGCATCCCTCGTGCTGGGGGCACATCCCACCCCCTCCCCCGCACCTTCCTCCCACATTTCCCCCCCATCTCCCCTCCCTGGGGGCTGGAACGAGATAATTAAATCCCCCCCCAACCCAAACGACCCCGTAACTCCGATCTCCCCCCTCATCTCTCCCCACGTTCCCCCGACACTGGAGCCTGTTTAACCCCCCGATCCCCAACCCCACGGACACCGCAGCTCCCCCAACAACCTCCCCGACCTGCTGCGGCGCCTCCTCCCACGGAAACCCCCGGATCATCCCCCACAGACCCGCCCAGGCCCCACCAGGGACCCCCCCAGCCCTCAGCCCCCCGCCCGAGCAGGCCCCTCTCCCGGCACAGCCCCCGCCGGGCCCGCGCACCGCGCAGGTCGAGCTCCCTGTCGCGGACAGCGTTGGTGTACTGCGCCGCCTGCTCGATGAGCTCCGCCGTGAGCTTCACCATCGCGACAGGCCCCGCGACAGCCCCGACAGGCCCCGCGACAACCCCGACAGGCCGCGCGCGCCGCCTCAGGACACCGCGCCGAGCGCCGAGCACCGAGCGCGCCCAGGCCGAGCGGCCGAGCGCCGAGACAAGCGAGCGGCGGGGACAGCCCCGCCCCCGGCCCCGCCCCGGGAGGGGACAGACCCCCCAAAAACAGTTCGGAAACCGCGACGCGGGCATCCCCCTCCTCCCTGGGGTGGCACAGACCCCCCCAGTACCCCCCAGTGCACCATTCCGGGCATCCCCCTCCTCCCTGGAGTGACACAGACCCCCCAGTGCCCCATCCCAGGCATCCCCCTCATCTCCGGGGTGACACAGGCTCCCCCCAGTACTCCCCAAAACACCCTCCCCGCGGTGACACAGACCCCCCAGTACCCCTCAAAATCAGCCCCCATCCTGGCGCCTGAGCCATGGATCACCAAACACAGTAGGGACGTGGCTTTGCCATCTGCAGCGCACTAAAGCAGCGCAAAGATGCCGCCAGAGGTTCCCTCCCGACTTCTTGTGTTTCCAGGCACGGATTTATCCACGGAGATCCCGGCGGAGCGGACTGGGAACCTGCCTCACGCAATGACTGGCAGCAAGTGGGCTGCTTCCCTTCGGACACAGCTGGACTCCTGGGTGCTCAGCCCATGGAATTCTGTGTCCCATCACTTGCTGCTCCCCTCCTGCCACACAGCCAGGATGGTGTCCACAACTTTAGCTGCTACCACGGCTCTGGGTGCTTTCCCTCCCTGCAAGCAGCAGCTCAGCCTTTGCTCCTGGACATCACCTTGCCCATAAGCACCTTCCCCTGCAGCTTTTGGGGCAGTTGCTCTGTCACTTCCATAGGAATTCCCGGTCTCAGAGATGCCGTGATGGGCTGGGAACATGACACTGGCTATGGCATGACATCCACCCTTCATCTGTGAGGTGAAATGTGCTTTCAGATGTCACTACACCCCCTTTACCTGCTTTAGGAATGCAGAGAACAGCAAGGAAGAGCTGGGAGTAGGGCTAGGGGAGATGAGATGGCTCTGCCTGTGGCCGAGGGACCTGGTTCCACGGGGAAGGCTCAGCTGGTGGCAGGAGGGCTCTGCAGGTGGGTGAACCACAGGGATGACTGGAATGAAGGTGACACGTGAAGGGAAGCAGGTGACCACCCTGCAGCCCCAAACCCTGCTGAATGTCACCACGCCACTGCTTCTGGAGTAATCCTTCCCCAGCCCTCAAGGTTCCCCTGAGCAAAGAATGATTCCTGTACCCACTGCTACCGAGGGAAGGACGTTTTTCACGAGCCGTGACATTTCTGTGAATCCAGAGGATGTGCTAATAGGTTAAACACTGCAGCCACGCTTGGCACTGCAGGGTGGTGGCTCACACTTTTCCTCTGGGAGCATTTGGAGCATCACCCTGAGCATGAGCCTGGCTCCTTCCCCAGGACTGCGGCGTCAGAGGGGTCAGCCGGGGCCAGGCAGCTCCTGGGCTCCCTCCTGTAAAACCCCTCACCAAAGCTCTTCGTGCAAGCACGTAGAGCCAGGCCTTGGTGACATCTGCATTTGTTTAAAAAGCAGTAAGAGAACAAGAACAAGAGGGAGCTGTCACAAGAAAAACCCAGGAATTAGCAGCGCTGTTGTACGTGACTCAGGCATCATGCGGTGGGAAAGACAACAGAGTCTTTAGTCATTTCAGGCAGTTGTTAAAAGGAGACTCTTTTCAGCCTTCTGGAAAGCAGGTCCTGCCTCTGACAAGGCCAAAGAAAACAGGGGCCTTTCTCCCCTCAGCACAATGCAGCTGTTTGCCTCAGCCCCACAGCCGTGGAGGAATTGGAACCGCGAGCAGACGGGTTCTGGGGCTCAGATGCTTCACAAGAGCTCTCGACAGCCCTTCCTTTGCGATGGAAAGTCAAAGCAATGGTTTTTAAGATGTGTGTCCCCCACCTGCCAACTGCACAATGGCAGATGGCCGTGGATGCAGCCTCACAGCCAAGCAGCAAGCGAGGAGTCAGGCTGCACTAAGATCTTCCAGAAAACAGCTATTATAGATTTAGCTTTGGTGCCAGGAGACAATAGAGAAATGAGCTTTAATAAATTGCCTAAATATGCATTTATCTTGAAGACACAGCCACTTTGATCCTCTGAGCACACCAGAGCCAGAATTAAATAGCTCCAAGCAAGTATTGCAACAGCTTGGAGAAATAATCTGAATTTTATTACTTTACAAGAATGATTTCTGAGGGAAAGGCTGGAAGCTGATGTTGTTGCATAAACTTGATGTGTAGAATTTGTTTCTCTTTCCCTGGCAGGCTGGAAGGCAGCAGAAAGTAGGATAAAGCTGAGGCTGCTGGGGACTGGTCATCTTAAATTGCATTGCTTCTCCCAGTGTGTATTTTAAGTTATGCCAAGGATATAAGAGTAAACATTTTCCTCTTTTTTTTTTAGCATTTCAGTACATCTAAATATACCAGCAAGCAGTATTTAGAGGGAGGCTTCTGTGAGCCAGAGAACTGAAAGGCTGACACAATAATCCTGACCCACAGCTCCTGTTTTCTGACTGAGTAACCCAGCAACAAAAATGAAGTTTGGTATTTTACAACCACAGGGGCAGAAGACAGGAGCATTTCACCCCAGTCCTGACCTCTGGTTTGGCCCAAGACCGAAAGGGAAATCCTCAAGCAAGAGAAGGAATCCTTCTATGTGATTAATTCACATTTATCATCTGATAAACGTGAAGACCCACAAGATGCAGGAGCCCAGAGCAGCATAACTGAGGAGGATCTTCCCTTGTGGAGGGCTCCTTTCTTTTCTTTCTTTCCCACTTAAAAAGCTCAGTTGCAGATACCCAGACACTACCCTGGGCACTTGGCCCATGCTTAAACATTGCAAAACCAACACGACAAACAAAAGGCTCCGCAGCTCCCTCCATTCCCCAACACACCAGCGGCTCCTCTCCTTCCCCAGACAGCCAACAGGGAACAATTCCCCTGCTGCTGGGAACTTCAGGGGGGAAATGGGGGGCTCAGGATGCTCCTTGTACGAGTGGGAGTGGGGAGCAAGCCCTCCTGCCAGCTCACACAGGATCCCCCACACTGGAGAACACACCCAGCCATGCCCAAGCACAGCCCCAAACCTCACCAGAGACACCAACCCAGCCTGGCATGGGGCAGGTAAAGGTGAAAGACCTTTATGAGAACAACAGTGAGGTTTCAGCAGATGCAGCTCATCTGTTCCTGAGCGTTTCTCCCACAGGTGCTCTGGGCTGATCAGGAGCTGCTTTGTCCAGCAAGATGAAGACTCACAGTGCATCCCTGCCTTGCCGCTGGCTGGGATGGCAGCTGCGTGAACTTGGAAAAAGCACAGATTCACTTGTCAGGGGAGATCAATAGTTTATTAACTTAAAAGGTCAGTTCACCAAAGCTCCGTCTTTCCTTGGGTTTGGCCCAGGCAGGTGAGGACCGGTGGTGGTGTGGCTTTCCCCTCTTCACCTGGCTGAGGTGAGCTCTAGTGGGCAAGCCCAGGCAGGGCACGTGTCACTGCAGCTGAAACCAAGCAGGGATTATCCCAGCTCCGTGAGGGACTGGTGACAGTTCATACTGAGGATTTCACTGGCAAAAGGTTTTTAACTCATAAAAACTATTAACAATGAAAATCAGAACATGCAGCGTAGGAAAGAGTGTTTACATACGTCTGGTGCAAAGAGTGGCTTTGCAGGGTCAGAGAGGAGAAAAGGAGAAGGAAAAAGACACAAAGAGGTACCCCACTCCCATATAAAAAATAGTCCACAGAGAAAAAACAAGGATTGTATAAGTTATTTTTTAAAAATCTGTAAAACAACATAGCCAAGGATATTTTAAACACAATTATATAAACACCACATGACTTACTATTAAGAGAGAGCATGAAAAGGGTTGTTTCAGGGGAGGGTTTTGTAGAATTAAGTTTCCTGTCTGGATCCCCGGAATGTCTCATTTGGGAAATAGATGCCCAAGAAAAATCACTGCCATCAACAGGAGGATTTTGTGAGAGAGAGGGGTATACCCAGCAAAACAGGGGAAGGATGATGACACAAAATGCCAGAAGAGATTAACTGGGACAGCATCTCGTTTAGAGGAAGGATCTAGCTCGTTCCAGAACTGAATTCATCAGCAACTTACTCGCAGTTCCAGGAGGGAAATACATTTCGCGGTAAGGCTGGTCTGTGTGGACAAACCCCCTCCCACATCCCTAAGACCCCCTGTAGGCACACGGGTTTTGCCTGCCTGCAGTTCCCTGCTGGGCTGACACACCTGCAGAGCCACGTGGGTCAGCTCTCGCTTTGGTCCTCAAACCTCCAGTTATTGCCCCGGCCAGAGGGAAACAGCGACCGACCGAATCCGAACAGGAATTCCGGAGCGGGCTGCCAGGGCACCACTCCGGAACCGCCTGGTTCATCGTTTGACCTATGTACACAGCCGCTGGCAATGCAGGTTTGTGTCGGCTGTCACCTGGCAGAAAAGGGTACCGAAAAGTGAGCCCCGAGCGGCTCTTCCCTCGCAGGTGTGGAGTCCCGCATCCCTCGCGGCGAGGGCTCCCGCCGGCCGCTCGGAGCGGGCGGGTCAGTAGGATTTCTGCGAAGAACCAAGCGTGTGTACATGGATCATGCATCAGTCCCTGCTCACGAGGAGTGTTTGAGAGTATTAATATCACCGCTTGTCTGCTGCTCCCGGGACGTGATCACTCAGGGTACGATCCGATCTCTGCTTAACATATCGCTATAGAAACGCGCTGACAGTGATATTAAAGCTATCAAACTTAGGAGCGAAATGCTTGACAGCACCATGTAAACTCTCCCAAAGCTGAAAAAATAAACTTTTTTTGTCCTAAACATTTGGCAAAACTGGGCTGGCAGTCGGTGGAAGTCCTGGGTGGACGCAGCCGCTGAACTTTACCCGGCCATAAGACACGTCTGACAGCAGAACTGCACAAACAGCTTCTTTTCACACAGCTTGTTTGATTTCACCATCTCACAGAAAGTCTTGTCAGCTGGGAGGCCGAGGTGAGGAACAAGAGAAAACG